AAAAAAAAAAAAGTCAAGCTATATACATTTTTTCCAGAAAGCCATACAAATCATTCCTGTCTTCTATTAAAATTCCTAGGTTGGTGTGGTGGCTCACACCTATGACCCTAGTACTCTGGGAGGATGTGGGTGGATTGACTGAGCTCAGGAGTTTGAGGCCAGCCTGAGCAAAACAGAAAAACTAGCCAGGCATTCTGGTGGGTACCTGTAGTCCCAGCTACTCAGGAGGCTGAGGCAAGAGGATCTCTTGAGCCTAAGAGTTTGAGTTTGCTGTGAGCTATGATGATGCCACAGCACTCTCTCTACTCAGGTAACCAATTAAATTAGGCTAGGCACCCATGTTCAGTGGTTAGGGCTCCAGCCACATAGACAAGGTTGGCGGGTTCAAACCCAGCCTAGGCCTGCTCAACAACAATGACAACTGCAACAATAATAATAGCTGGGTGCTGTGGCAGGTGCCTGTAGTACCAGCTACTTGGAAGGCTAAGGGAGGAGAACCACTTGAGCCTAGGAGTTTGAGGTTGCTGTGAGCTGTGACGCCACAGCACTCTACCCAGGGCAACACAGTGAGACTCTGACTCAAAAAAATTAAATTAAATTAAAACAAAACTCTTGTGTCAAAACAAACAAACAAATAAACAAACAAAAAAACCTTAATCAAAAACTATTCTCCAGGAAGCACCTATGGCTCAAAGAAGTAGGGTGCGGGCCCCATATACCAGAGGTGGCAGGTTCAAACCCAGCCCCAGGCCAAAATTGCAAAAAAAAAAAAAATAATAATAATAACTATTCTGTTCATTTACGGAAGATATATTTCTTGAGTATCCAGTGTGTGCCAGGAAATCTTTCAGTTCCAACAGAAATGAAAGCCTTTGCTCAGCCTAATAATGGAAGCTAGTATGAATTTTGTGATATATAAATAAAAGTAATCATATTAACAAATTCAATGTCACAACCTACAAACTATTGTTTTAAATTATTACTTTAAAAGAAATTCACCACCAGAGGGTGCTCCTACAATTTTTATGTGACTTTACAAGTCCCTGTTAATACGCTCCGTATGTGGAACACAGCTTTGGACACCAAAACTGAAGCCTTAACAAAAGTGAAGGTGGGAAGTGAGCGATCTGGTCCCCAAATCCCACAGAGCAAAAACATAAAATGGCAATCTCTCACTAAGGTTCCAGAAAGCTCTGTGAGTCTCAGGACAGCAATTAGTGTGAAGAGACAAGTTTCATAGGGTTCTAGTCCAGGGAAGTTACCCCTGGAACCCTGAGATGACCAGGGAAGGCAGGCAATTCCCATCTCACACTCTCAGTACCCCTTCCTTCAATCTTCAAAAATTCATGCTCACACCATACCAACCCTTCTGCAGGAGAGCAAAAATGTTTCTTCCCTTTCCTGAAGTGAGTGTCAAGGAAGATCTCATGACTTCTTGGGATGCAACTCCTATCTACTTTCCACCCAACAACTATCCCTTGCTGTCATTCTGTCTGTCCCCTGTTTCATCTCCCCAATCATGTCCCCTCCTCCCCCAACAGAGAGAAAGGCAAGGAGGAATGTAGGACTAGGTAAGAAGAAAACAGTCCCAGATCCACCTGGCACTGCCATCCTCCAGGAGGGGATCTATATAAACCTGCTCTTGCCTACCAGGGGGAAAAGGGGTAGAAAAGGGTATTGGAAGAATGAAGGAAAATAAAGAAAATCCTTGCACACAGGCCGGCCCTGTGCCACATGTGTAATTCTCCTCCCCACCTATGACCCATTGCAGAGAAGTAGCACCAGGTTGAAGATCAGAAATCCTCCTCACCCAACTGAAAGATGAAGGAATGACTGTGGATGGTTTGGGTGCTAGCACATAGTATGAGAAGGCATATTATTTTATGACAACCAGGTATGAAATCTGCAGGTCAACTAAAACGTAAAAAAAAATGCTACAAAATTAAAGTATTCTACCAGACAATAAGGCTTTAAGAAAAAAAAGACATACAGGCTTTTTTAAGAAAAGTAATACACAGGCTCGGCACAGGAGCTCACGCCGGAAATCCCAGCACTCTGGGAGGCCTAAGGGGGAGGACTCCTTAAGCCCAGGAGTTTGAGACCAGCCTGGGCACCGTAGCAAAACTACCTGATTTTCCATTTTGAACAAACAACTTAATTATTGTTTTTAAACCATAAGGTCTCCAATAACAAATGAAGTTCTAGAACAGATAAACGGGGGGGGGGGGGGGGCAGATGCTAGACAATGACAAAACCTCTATTCAAAATTATTTTGACAAGATTTTTAGGGACCATTTAAGGAGACTCTGCAGGTAAAGATGCTTTTGAGATGGATGGAAGTGATGGACCCCCACTCCCTCCACCAGAAGAATACAGATGTGAACACTAACATAATATTCTTCAGACCACTTCAGGAGGCTCATAGCCCAACTGAGGCTATCCATGGACTGCCTAGAGATCCATGATCTCCTTAAGTTAAGGACATCTAGAAAAGGAGAATAAATACTACTTTGCTAACTATAAAGTTTGAGTTTCAAATCCAGAGGTTCATATGATGAGTAGCATTCCAATGTTATTTATAAAAAAAATCATTCCTATGATGAATGCTAACAGGATTTTATAATACAAACTACTACATCTAAAATAAGCTTAACTGTAGCCCTAGTCACAATAGCAAAGATACGGAATCAATCTAAGAGTTCCATCAGTGGAAGAACAGATAGAAAAATGTAATACATAGACACAGAGGAATATTATTCAGCTATAAAAAAGAATGAAATCACATCTTATGTAGCAACATGGATAGAACTGGAGACTATTATCTTATAAGTAGGTGCTAAATAAGGTATACGGAAGCAGAGAGTTTTAACAATTGATGCTGGAGACGGGAAGGGTGGGAGATGAGAGGGAATGATAAAGGTTGCTTGGTGGGTACCATGTGTGTTGCTTCAGTGATGTATGCACTGAAGACTCTGACTTTACCATAGTGCAATAGAGCAATATAATAAAATGGCACCTGTACCCCACAAATACAAATAAAAAATGAGGAAAAAAATAAGCTTACCTCAAAATTCACAGGCAAGTTCCGTTTAAGTGCAATTTCAAACACTTGACTTATTTCAGATTTATTCAGATTTTCTTCTTCTGATTCTCTTCCATTCACCTAAAAGAAAAATAACTGTTTGGCAGTTTCTTAGCAAAACCAGCAACATCTTGGAAGCTGTGATGATAAACCTTAAAAGTTCTAACCGTTGGCTTTATGGATTTAACCAAAGCCACACACGTACCAGATGTCACTGAATTTAAAGTTTAAAAAAAAAAAAGTAAACATTTGCACCAGAATGTTTATTGCAGCCCAATTCATAATAGCCAAAACATGGAAAAAGCCCAAAAACATGGAAACATGCCCATCAACCCATGAATACATTAACAAATTGTGGTATATGTCCACCATGGAATACTATGCAGCCATAAAAAGATAGAGACTTCACATCTTTTATGTTTACCTGGATGGAGCTGGAACATATTCTTCTTAGTAGAGTATCTCAAGAATGGAAAAAAAGTATCCAATGTACTCAATACTATGATGAAATCATCATATAATCACCTATACACTCATATGAATGGCAAAACATAACTACAGTCCAGAAAGTAGAAGGGAAGAGGAGAGAGAAGGGATAAGAGGGGGGTATGAGAGGAGGGAGGGTATTTGGGGGGAACCTCACCTAACGTGCAAGATGCAATGGTACATTTCAAAATTATTAAGAAATGACTATAATTGTGAAGGATGTGTTACTTGGTTCAATGTAAGCATTTCACACACACACACAAAAAAATGGTGTCCTGGTCAAACTTGAGTCAGATCATACCTCATAAATCCACTATAAATAATCCACACATAATAAATCTCTGGGTATGAATCAGCCTAACTGCAATGCAGCAAGATGTTACTGCTGCTTAGAAATAGTCACTTCCAAAATACTCCTAAAGGATTGTGAAGCCACCTTTCAAAAGAATCAAAATACAGACAGATCTGTGTGGGACACCGCAAAGTCAGATGTAAGAATCTCCAACTGAAGTATACAGGTTTATTATTTGGACATCAAATCCCTAGAAACCATTTTTTAAAAGGATACAACCAAGGGATAGGGAGCAAGCCTGCAGACCCAGGAGGCTAAAGCAGGAGGATCACTTGAGCCCAGGAGTTAGAGGGTGCTGTGAGCTACAATCAACTCTAGCCTGGGCAACAGGGTAAGACCCTATCTATTAAAAATAACAACAATAACTTTTAAAGATGTGATAAAACAAATTACAAAACTGCCATGAATCTCACACTTACTGCTGCTTACAAAAATTCAAAGAGCAAACTAATAAAGTCTCCTCAACAAAGACAGAGACTGTATCTAAGTAACAAGGTTCATTTACAGTCTTCCAACAAGGGCTGGGATTAAAGAGGAAAAGGGATCTTTTCTGTGTGAGCTGATAACACAAACTTTATATTACATTGTAATGGCGATATGAGACACTAGGTAAGCTCAGGAACAGCAAAGTCCCCAAGAAACCTGTATTTTTCTTCACATTATTGCTTTTCTTTTGTCAAAGAATTTGTAAAATCCTGTTTCCAAGATTAGAACTATCTAACTTGTGGCTGAAATTGCTAAACAGGCAAGGGACAAGACTATCCAAGGTTTGATCTGTTGTGTACATTTCCTTATATTGATCAGGTATATCTCGCCTACAATGGTCTAATATTATAAGCTGAAAATGAAAAGACATGAAATAATAAAATAAAATAAAAACTCAAGGTTCAAAAAAAACATTAATATAATCAAGGGTATAATCCCAGAAAAATACATTTTATTCCATTTGCTATTTGTAATTTCTTCTCTCTGCCATAATGGTTTCTTTCCAATCTGGTTTCACTTTATTCTCAGCCTCGTCAAAACTATTTGAATAGTATTTTTGGTGGTTTATTAACCTAAACACACTTGTACTGTCGTTGTTTAAATCATAAGCAGAAAAAGGACCTACATTGTTATTAATAAACCCATAAACCAGAAATCTTCAAGCAAGGTGCTTTATAATCTGGGGTTCTACAGGTCTGGTTTCAAACTTACGATTTAAGTAGGTTTTAAACAAACAAAAAACAACTTTCGTTTTTTCTCTTGAGACAGAGTCTCTCACTCTGTCACTCTGGGTAGAATGCCATGGCATCACAGCTCTCAGCAACCTCAAACTCCTGGGCTTGAGCAATCCCCTTGCCTCAGCCTCACGAGTAGCTGGGACTATTGGCGCCTGCCATGAGGCCCAGCTAGTTTTTCTATTTTTAGTAGAGATGGGGTCTCATGCTTGCTCACGATTACAGGTGTGAGCCATTGCGCCCAGCCAAAAACTGTATTTTTAGAAGTTTGCTTTACAATGGTGCTAGTAAAATCAGACATCCACATACAAAATAATGAAGGAGGACCTTTACTTCACATCATATTGAAAAATTTACTCAAAATAGATCAAAGACTTAAATGTAAGCACTAAAACAATAAAACTCTTAGAAGAAAACATAGGGTAAAAGCCTCATGAGTATGTATGTGGCAGTAATTTCTTAGATAAGACAAAAAAAGGCACAGTCAATAACAACAACAAAAAAAACATATTAATTTTACTTCATCAAAATTTAAAACTTTAGTGCATCAAAGGACACTATGAAAAGAGTGAAGACTCGCAGGGCACAGTGGCTCACGCCTAGGGTGACCAGATTTTAACATTTGTAAAGCGGGACAACATGGGGGAGGGCAGGGCAGGGCAGGGCCTGACAACAATGCAAACTTTGATAAGCAGTTCTCGATAATCACTTCTCAACAATTACTTGTTATTATTACAGTTTAACATTATAAAATTAACAAAATAATATAAAACTCATATTCTGGCGAAATAGCCACATGGCAGCCGAAAACCGTATATTCCCTTCCTGTTCTCCGGCCCATTCGTGCATTCTTTCCAAAAATCAGGACTTTTTTAAAACACTGCGGGATGTGGGACAAATTGTTCAAAAGCGGGACGTCTGGTCACCCTACTCACGCCTATAATCCTAACACTCTGGGAGACTGAGGTGGGTGGATCACCTGAGCTCAGGAGTTCGAGATCAGCCTAAGCAAAAGCAAGATCCTGTCTCTAATAAAAATACAAAAACTAGCGGGACATTGTGGCAGGTACTTATAGTCCCAGCGACTCAGGAGGCTGAAGCACAAGGATCTGTTGAGGCCAAGATTTTGATGTTGCTGAGAGCTATGACGCCATGGCACTCTACCAAGGGTGACAAAGTGAGACTCTGTCTCAAAGAAAAAAAAAAAAAAAGCAACAAGCAACAATTAAAAAATACCTGTGTTTCATACCAAATGTTAACACACTAAAAGTCATCAAAACATTCACTCGTGCCAATCACTTGAGCCAAATGTGCTAACAGGTTAACTCATTTTTGTACCCAAAAGAATAAAGCTTTTTTTTTTTTTGAGACAGAGCCTCAAGCTGTCACCCTGGGCAGAGTGCCGTGGCATCACAGCTCACAGCAACCTCCAACTCCTGGGCTCAAGCGATTCTCCTGCCTCCACCTCCCAAGTAGCTGGGACTATAGGCACCCACTATAACTCCCGGCTATTTTTTGGTTGCAGCTGTCATAATTGTTTGGCAGGCCTAGGCTGGATTTGAACCTGCCAGCTCTGGTATATGTGGCCGGCACCTTAGCTGCTTGAGCCACAGGTGCCAAGCCAGGAATAAAGCTTTTTTTTTTTAATTTTTTTTTTTTTTTGAGACAGTTTCACTCAGTTGCCCTGGGATTGAGTGCCCTAGCGTCACAGCTCACAGCAACCTCAAACTCTTGGGCTCAAGTGATCCTCTTGCCTTAGCTTCCCAAGTAGCTGGGACTACAGGCGCCCACCATAACACTTGGCTTTTTTTTGTTGTTGTTGTTGTTTCTGGCCAGGGCTGGGTATGAACCTGCCACCTCCAGTATATGGGGCTGATGCCCTACTCCTTGAGCCACAGATGCTGCCCAACACTTGGCTTTTTTATTTTAGAGACAGGGTCTCAAGCTTGCTCAGGCTGATCTCGAACTCCCCCCAAGCAATTTTGCCTACCTCGGCCTCTCAGAGTACTGGGATTATAGGCAACAGCCACCACACCAGCCTCAGAATAAAGTTTTTGGACAGCAGTTTATTTGAAGAGTATTTTTTCTTTTTTTTAGAAAAAGAATCTTCCTCTGCCCGAGCTACAGTGCAGTGGAATAATTATAACTCACTATATCCTCAAACTGGTCTCAAGGGATCCTCCAGCCTCAGCCTTCCAAAGTGCTGGAATTACAGGCCTGAGCCACCACAACCAGTCTAGAAATGTTTTTTTAATAGATCAGGTGTTTTTAAAAATGGTCCACACTTTACATATATGTGTGTGTCTCTCTCTGTGTATGTATATACTTTTTTTTTTTTGAAAGAAACAAGGTCTCATTCTGTCCCCTAACATAAGTTAAGACAGTGGCCTAATCATAGCTCAATGTAACCTTGGACCCCTGGACTCAAACAATCCTCTTACCTCAGCTTCTCAAGTAGCTAAAGCCACAGGCGCACAGCGCACCCCCACATGTGCTGCCACACCTAGCTAAATTTTAAAGATTTTGTTTTTAGAGACAGAGTCTCACTATGTTGCCCAGGCTGCTCTCAAACTCATGGCCTCAAGTTATCCCCCTGCCTCAACTTTTCATTGTGTTAGGAACACAGGCATGAGCCACTACACAAAACATAAAAAATGGTCCACTCTTGAGCTAAGTAACTTTCTCAAAGAAAATGTCCTCTTTAAGTACAATCACATCAAAATTTGGAAATAAGGCTCAGCGTCTATGGCACAAGTGGCTAAGGCGCCAGCCACATACACCTAAGGTGGCAGGTTCAAATCCAGCCTGGGCCCACCAAATAACAATGATGGCTGCAACCAAAAAATAGCCAGGCATTGTGGCGGGCATCTGTGGTCCCAGCTACTTGGGAGGCTGAGGCAGGAGACTTGCTTGAGCCCAGGAGTCGGAGGTTGCTGTGAGCTGTGATGCCACAGCACTCTACCCAGGGGGATAGCTTGAGGCTCTGTCTAAAAAAAATTTGGAAATAAAATGGGTGCTGAACTTGATATAAAACCACAATTATCATACATATACCCCAATTTCCAAATGTCACGGTATCGGCCCAAGCAATTAATAAATACTTTTATCTTTATTTATGTCCTATTTCAAACATACTGAAAAGTACAGATAATAATGTAATAGGCAATTAACATTTGTTAACAAATGTCAACATTAAGAACTACTAACATCACTCACCCGCTTAGCGCGCCTGCCACGTACACGGGGGCTGGTGGGTTCGAACCCAGCCTGGGACTGCTAAAAAACAAACAAACAAACAAACAAAATAGCCAGACACTGTGGCAGGCACCTAGTCCCAGCTACTAGGGAGGCTGAGGCAAGAGAATCGCTTGAGCCCAAGTGTTTGAGGTTGCAGTGAGCTATGATGTCACAGCACTCTACAGAGGGCAACAAAGTGAGACTCTGTCTCAATTTAAAAAAAAAACAAAACTACTGACATCAGATGGATTTTTTCTGTTGTAAGAAAAACAATGAAGTCCTTCTCATTATCCTTCCCATAGCAGTTAATCACTATCCTAAGTGGAACTGTATCTTTCCCAAGTATGTTAGTTTTTTTTGTTTTGTTTTGTTTTAGAGGCAGAATCTCACTTTATTGCCCTTGGTAGAGTGCTATAGTGTCACAGCTCACAGCAACCTCCAACTCCTGGGCTTAGGCGATTCTCTTGCCTCAGCCTCCTGAGTAGCTGGGACTACAGGCACCTGCCACAATGCTCGGCTATTTCTTGTTACAGTTTGGCCAGGGCCAGACTTGAACCCACCTCCCTCAGTATATGAGGCCAGCACCCTACCCACTGAGCCACAGGCTCTGCCCAGTATGTTAGTTTTTAAACAAACAAAAACATATAATTTTGTGTTCTGAAAATGCATATAAATCATTCTCATGGATTAACTTTAATGTTATAAATTCAAACTTGTAACTTTATACAAATGAAAAGTTTCTTTTCTATTTTGTATACATGTATCAAAGTTCCATGTAAGACTGACAGAAAATAATGAGCGTAATTGCTAAGTTTCTCTGTAAGCCAATGGTTCTCAAGCACAACAGCACTAGTGCCAACCTCACAAGGACAGATGCCAGAACCCACTCCAAACAAGTGAGCTCAAATTTCTGAGGGTATAGCCTGGGTATGTGTTTTATTTATAATTTTTTTATAAGTTTTTGGGTGATTTTACTAGCAACCAGAGGAGAGACTGATTGCTCTAAGCCACTGCTTCCTAAGGAGTATCAACAGAGACAAAGATACACATTTGAAAGTGAAATTGTATTTGCTCTTTTACACAAACAATTTTGTATTATCTGGACTGGACAAAATGTTGCAAATGGGGAGGTAGCAAATGACTCAAAACTAATCCACAAATACCATTCCTATTAAGATCAGGAAAGTTTAGTGGGCCCTTACTCTTACTTTCTCAAAGTGGGAATTACTGTTAACAACAATCTCCACAGCAATTAGTACAACAGTAAAATCTAGGCAACATTAAGAAAAGGATAAAAAACTTTGAACCAAGCTTGAACCCTCAGTATGCCGAGAAATATAGTCCTCAGCATTTATCATCTAGCTCCAACACTTCTGATTTTTGATCTTCCCTTTTTTTTTTTTTGAGACAGAGTCTCATTCTGTTGCCCTGGGTAGAGTGCTGTGGCATTTTAGCTCACAGCACCTCAAACTCTTGGACTCAGGCACTCCCCTTGCCTTAATGTCCCAAAGAGCTGGGACAACAGGAACCCACCATAACACCTGGCTAGTTTTTCTATTTTCAGTAGAGACAGGGGTCTCGCTCTTGCTCAGGCTGGACTTGAACTCCTGAGTTCAAGGGATCCACTTGCCTCGGCCTCCCAGAGTGCTAGGATTACAGGTGTGAGCCACCACATCTGGCCTCTTTTTCTTTTTTTTTTTTGTTTGTTTTTTGAGACACAGTAGTGCTCTGCACTGGCTTTGAAAGATGGTATATCTCCAGTCTTCTTTTGTAACCTCTTAAAAGACAATGCAATAACACTGGGAAACGCCATAAGAATGTTAAAGGAAAATGCAATATTGACAATTAGCTTACTATTACATGTCCAGCCGGAGAAGAATTTCATCATTCTTCCACCTTCTTATCATTTTAGTCTTATTTAATGTATCTGAGAACACATGATGAATAGTACTGAAATAATATGAAGGATAACAAATAGCAAAATGTTCCAGAACACAGAAAAATTAAGATCCCTAGGATCCTATAATATAAAGATCTATATATATATAAAAAGATCCAAAGGGCCTCATGACAATGTAAGAAAATGAGTTTTATTCTATTTTTAAAAATAAACAAGGGGTGCTGCCACAGAATGGGCACAATGTAGGAGTACAGACGTGTCTTCTGGGTGCAGGACTTAAACAGGGACTCTACCTAACAAATTCAAATACTGTGATTTGGTCATTTGTACTCGTGCATTAACCTGGGGAAAAAAGTATAAATTGGTTGGCAAAGCTACAAAGAAAAAAACATGTTTTCTTTCAGTTCTTTGTAAAACCTCTAAAAAAAAGAATAAAACTCATCCAATATCCTCCTTTACAGAGTTTGAAAGGAAGCTCAAAAATGAAAACTTGTGCCAGGTATGAGTATACCTGTAGTCCCAACTACTCTGGAGGCTGGGACGGGAGAAATGGCGGAACCCAGGAGCCAGAGGCTATAGTGTGCTACCACTGCCTGTGAATGAATAGCCACTGCACTTCAGCAAGGGCAAACTAGTAAGACTGCATTCCTTTTTTTTTTTTTTTTTTTT